AACCGTGCATATTTCATCTCTTGGCGCTCGCTCAATCTCAGCCGGGCTCTGCCAAAATCAACAACAACTTTAAAACACTTTGCATTTATGCGACAAATGCGACACGATTGGACCCAGCTAGCCCTAGACCAGGTTGAACCCGCTGCTTGCCCCAGATGCCGCACTGGCGCCCTGTCATGGTCCTGCCCCCCTCCCTTGGTCATGTACGCGAACTCAACCGATCCCGGAGCAGGCGCAAAGCTTTGTCATAAATCATTTCGGTGCCGCGTTGCCACAGAATGACACACGTTTGGACAGGATGGGCTAGCCCGGCCCATGTCCAGCTACCAGTATACTAGCTACCGCTGCTTATGCCGCCAGCAGGTGCCGCTCCTCTGCCCTTCCCACTCGCGCTCTCCCCCTATCTTGCCCTCTCACCTCGCACTCACTCACTCTCTCGCTCTCTTTGTCTCTGGTCCTGCTGTTTACAGTGTTTGGATGGACGCCACAAATTGTTTTGCTGGCGAGGATTCAACAAATTGGAAAGTGTTCACAAGTAGCCGCGCACGTGCTCCGCCCACTCATCGCTCATGGCTGGTCGGGCCGGGTCGCCGTCCGACGACCGCCGTTCGCCTCCACACACACCCTGGTCGCTATCCGCAGCCATTTAATAATAAAAATTTGAACAAAAGTTTTGGCGGCTTTTCGGTGAGCTCTACATTATTTATATAAAAATTCAAATTAAATAAGATTAATTTGGGGACCCGGCTGCTGCTGCCCAACAGCTCTCCAAATCTGCCAGGCTCCACTTCAGTGCTCCTCCAATCCGGTCCAGGTTTGCCCACTCCGGTGCCAACTTTACAGTAACAAAGTGTGTGGCAGTCACAGTCACGGCTTTGACTTTGACTTTCAAGTGGAATGCCAGTTATTGTTGTGGCTCTCCTCTTTTGTTGTTGTTGTTGTTGTTGTTGTTATTGTGCGCGTGATTTTGGTCACTTTGAGGCAACTTTTGCATAATTCCACTCAACGCCCACTTGAAGATGACTAATGATGCTGCTGCCATCCGGCATACAGGGTGCAAGCGAGATGGCCATGTGCCGCAAATATGTCACATTTGTCTAGTGACAGGCGGGCAACCACTTCAAACTTGAATACCCACACACACACACACACCTCCCACACACACACAAACACACGCACAGCTGGTGAGAGACTCTGCCAGCCAAACCTGGCGGTGATTTTTCTAAGCTGTCATCTGCACTGGACAAAGAGACGCAGTCCATGGCGCTAATTGTCAGCCAAAAAACTATGCCCATTGCCTGTTTGTAGTTCCTCAATATGTTTTCTCCTGCATTTCGAAAGATTGCCATTGAGTATAACCCTACATGGAGTCGAATGCAATGAGAAAAACGCACACTTAAACTTAGTGCGTTTCCAAAAGGATGTTTGCATAATTTCAAATATATATATAAGCTTTGATATCTAAATTCATCTCCTCGAAGTCAAAATCAATTTTAAATGCACCCAAATCTCTCATCTATTCTATGCACATTCTTTTAGGTCTTTTTAGATTAAAGTTTCTGAAACGTGTCCTTGACAAATCGCATAGCGCACTTTTAATAAATATGTGTGTCCTTTCCCACTCTTAACCCTCAATTTAATTTAATAAACGATATAGTTTAATCCCAAATAAAATAATTCTATAATTCCCCATTTCAAATACACCTTTTTAAGGGAGTAGAGAAAATAATTTGTTTGGTATGCTGCCCAGAATCGCAATATACAAGAGGGTCACTTGGCGAAATTGAGGCGAAAGTGAAATAATTTAAGTTTTTCATTTCGCAGCTAAACTAAATCGAATTAGATCTGGAACTGGACCTGGACCTGCAACGGCTGTGATTGATGTGCAAAATGCGAAAAATATTGCGACAAATCAAATTGTGGAGCCGGCATTCGGGTGTGGGCGTACCAAACGCACTCCCAAGGCAACCAGGGGGAAAAACACGGATAACCTCTCCGATGCAATTAGTGACAGCCTGCCAAATGCACCGCCAGGTGGCGCCAGGCAAACAAGTGCAGTGCCCATTTTTGGTGTCAAGTTTGTGCGCTAATGAACAACAAACTTGAACAACTTTTACAACTGCAGGTGCTTGGCAAACGGGAAGGAGGGGGGGTAGAAGGTGTAGTGTAGCCCAAGAAGAAGAAACTGGCCGTAACGAAATGAAACGGCAACAAAATACCCACAATGAGGCAAGGAAATGAAATGAAATGCAATTAAAACAATTAAACGCGAGTTGGCCAGCTGATGTTTTCCACTTTCCTCCATAGTTTTCTTCATTTCAGTGAAGGAAAATGCAAAATTAGCAACAGCAAATTTGTAGCTGAATCGGATATCGGAGTCGACATCAGAACCATAACCGAAACTTGGACATGCAAATGAGTGGAAGGTTGGCCATGGTATATGCGTGAGCCCAGGTAGCTGCAGGTAACATTCTGTGCAACGATTGGATTCGCATCAGCAAAGGGGATTACTGTAGCTGCCACCGTTCAAGGCATGCCACTGAAGGCGGAGGCGTGGCAAACGACTGCTGCAATTTTCGATAAATTCGTTCGCTCAAAAGATGTCGCTGACGCCAGCGGGGCAAGCAGCAGCAGCAGCAGCAACAGCAGCCAGTGGCAGCAGATAAGTATAAAAGTATTTCATTCATTTCCATAATTTTAATAAAATTGAAGAAAAATATTCAAGGCACTGGCACACGGCATTGCCAAAAATAAAAAAGAAATATATGAAAAACGAAATGGAAAATGGAAAATGTGCGGCATGTAATGACTGGCTGGGAAAAGCGCTTGCACAGTGGATACCATAGCGAAACACGATACTCTTTCGATTAAAAAACCTTATCGAATACCTCACATATACTGTTACAATGAATATTAATCAGCTATTAGCATAAAAAAGTTCGACTGATTCTGTGGCACAATATTGCGTCCTACGGAAGTATTGAGATCCTTAATCCTTAAACCTTAACCAGGCACAGGTGGTTACTTCAATTACTACTGCGGTTATCATGCTTCAACTTAGCGACTCTATAATACTTCCCATGCAGTATCAAATTGTATGCTTCAAGCTCTTGAGCTGGTGACCCAACGATTTGTTGTTAAGGCTGCCAAATGCTTTGAGGCTGATTGCGAAAACATTGTATGGAACTCGTAAAACTCTTAATACCGTTCATTAAATATGTTCTAGTTGCTTTTAAGCATACAAAAAATATAAAACAAGCCTTTTCCTGCGTTTTTTAAGCCGCACGAGTGTGCGGGCAGCTTCATTGACCAGTTTTACTTGATACTAGATGGGAGCCAAGCGACACAGTCGCACACTGGGATTGAACTTCAAGAAATCAGTTTCGATACTCCGATTATTGGCATACATATTAATCGACACAGTTTCAATAGTAAATATCCCAGATCTAATACTAAAGTCACAGATCAAGCGTATTCATTCACTCTTCCAGACAAAAAAGAATGAATCGTGCCATGTAGGAAATTACTGTGCGAAATATTGATAATATGTATTATTACATTAAATGGCAAGTAGATGAATACTTTATCATATTTTGATATCATATTGCAGCTTCGCGGGAGTTCGATCCATAAACTTCGTCCCGGCGTTTGTCGTCCTACCTTACGTAAGACACAAACGAAACTTAAAACGGAACTAAAAAGTTGCCGCAAAATCAAACAAATCAAAACATTATCAAAGCCATATTCGCTTAAAATTAACTAAAACTATATGCCAAAAGTTTGAACCAACGCCTGGTTCAAGACCCGAAAATTGAGCGAGCGCTAAGCTCTCGATATCGATAGCCGGCTTGTCGTCGGTATTGATAACTCTTGTGCTATCGATATTCAACAATAAATCAGCCTTGTCTGCGAATGTTGCCTCACTGTGCCGTGTCTTAACCTGGCATGTTGGTATGCATGTGGCACCATTTACCTATAAATCCGGATCCATTGCTGTGCCAACCGAGCCAACGATTACTATCGATTGCTGCCCAACCAACCCAGCTACTCACCTAACCACATCTGCATCTGTGCGCGCCCCGTCACCAAATGACATAATTCAGTTGCTGGCAAAGTTTTGACTGATGCTGATGCTGCCATACGATGTCCATGCCCCAGCTCCTGCTCGACCCGATGCTACTGCTGTTGTTTTCGTTGTTGCCGTTCGGTAAAGTTGAACGTTGAATTTTGATGTTCGTTGATTGCCATCACCCATCTGCACGCTTGTTTTCGAAGATATGTCACCAGGTGTAGCAGCGCATTTAATCCGACCAAAAGTCGCAACATCAACAGCCAAACGTCAGACGTCAGTATTTCGCCCGGACCACGGACCCGGCCATGGATGCCCGCCAGGCACTTGTAAATGTCAAAAGTCGAGCTGAGCCGTCGCAGCAGCAGTGAAGCTGGTAACATGTGTTCCGCCCAGCTCCGCCCAGCTCCGCCCAGCTCCGACCAGCTCCTGCGGCTGCCTCTGCCCGCAATGGAAGTGACTTTCACTTGAACTTACTCGTATTTGTGTCATGTAACCCATACGCCGCGTGGACCAATAAAAGCAGCTAACCGAAAACAGAAAATGAAAATAAAATCAAATAAGAACACAGAAAATTGTAATATAACAGAAATTAAAATGTAGAAAATGTCAACGACACAAAGACGTGCGGCTTGAAGTGGGGCACAGTTGATTTTTCTGAATCGCTGAGCAGCGCAGCCTTCCCATTAAGAATCATCATTTATAAAACATGTTGCCTTATTTTACGTTAATATAAACCAGGCCGGCTCAAGATCAAAAACAAGTGAGCAGGTTATCTGTGCAGCTAATTTCACAAACCTCTCAATGTCATCAACAGCAGATTTTGCTATCAACTCTAGTTAAATATACACCTAGGTACCTGTAACTAGTTGAGAATTATAGGCGAGGCGAGCAGAGTTTAAGTCCACTTTCCCTGTGACAGTAGTTGCTTATAATATACTACACTTTCAGAAAAATTAACTGTACGATGGGAGCCAAAATAGTTTGGCCACACCCACTTTTGCTAGCAGTTTGGCTAAGGCTGTTAAACCTCACCTCATGCAGTTTGCAGAATACGATAGACCATTGATGGCAGCAGCACTCGAGCACAGCTCCTGCTGCTTCTCCCCTCTGTCGTCGGCGCCTGCTGCGGTTGCTGCTCCTCATGAGCTGATGCGCAATTAATATGGCAAATCAGGAGACGTCACCAAACGCAACCTGAGCCTGCCCACACACATTTGGTCCTGATTGTGTGTGTGCCATTGGGGCACACATAGATAGATACACACATACACCTACACACACACATACATGCCTAACCCTAACCCGCCGCAGGTCAAGGTTGGCTTTATGTTGCCCTCTGCATATGAGCGTTCCCCCGACCACGCCCCACCCACTTTTGTGGGGGTGACAGCCTTTTATATTTATGGCCACTACGTGTTGTAATGGGCGTGTTGCTTTCTGGTTTTCCATTTTTTTAAGGTTTGTTTTTTCTGTGTTTTTTATATATATAAATATATATATATATTATATTATTTTTTTTTTCATTTAAGGGCCAAAGCGACAACATAAAACAGTCGTCAAATTTATTAAGTGACATTATGCCAAGGCAAAAACAACAGAACCATAAAAAAGGCATTTGTCGGACACACACACATACACACACACGCACTGTTGCAACAAAAAAGTTAGAGCTTAATGGAAAGGGGAAAATAGCAGCTGAAAGTCGGGAAAACGAAAAACTCATTTCAAGTTAATTAGACGAGCGCGGAAAAACAGAACATGGTGCAAGAAACACAAGAGAAAAAAACTAGAGGAAAACCTCTGCAAAGTATGTAGAAACAAAATTTTTGTTAGCCTGGCCAACTGGCCAACCGAAAAATGCGCGGAAAAAACCAAAAACAACAGGAGCGTATGACTATCTACATTAGGCCGAAGCTGAAATACTCTTGCCAAATGATAAAGTAAACCGATTTGATATTTATTTGGCAGACAGACGAATAGAGCTACAAGGACTCAAGAATTGATACTGATCAAGAACACATTACACTTTATGTGAGCTGTCTTTTTGGAAGCGTTGCACACGTCGTGATAAACTAATAATACCCTCGACAAGGGCGTAGAAAGGAAACCTAAAAGGAAAACAAGGACTCAAGAGCATAATGAAATTGTTGGCCAAACTGTTGAGGCTATAAATTAAATATTAATTAATTGGCCAGTCTGTCTGTTCGCGGCCAAAAAATGCTGAAAGGGAAAATAACTCGCTTCAAGGTTGCGCCGCTCTGTCAGAAGGCAACCGTGTATTTTCTAATTGCTCATCAACCGTGTGATTGTCATGCCCCATTCCCCATGCCCCGTGCTCCATGCCAGCCGTGCCACGCCCCGCGCTCATTTAGTTGGCTAATTGCATTTTATTTAATTTGCCTGCCTTATTGGCGACAATTTGCTGCCAATTCAATTCGCTGTAACTTGGCAAAATTTCAATCACATTGGCCTTCAAAACTTGACATCCAAAATGTGGCAAGCAAAAGTACCTGCCTGCCTGCCCCACCGATCGACCGCACCACCAAGGCCCCCGTCAAATGAAGTGCTGGACATTTTTTACATTCCTTGTGCTGGGCAACTGTTGCAGGATTCTTGCTGGCTCTCTTTGTAACTCAGTTTGTCACTAATTGCATTGAAACAGTTTACATATTTATTTACCCTCTTGTGGGTCAACCCTCAGCTTGAGAATTCGATTTGTCGCTATGTTTTTCGCATTCCCCCATTTCGGCCTGTGACCCAATCAATCACCCCCAAACATCGCTTTATTGCATTGTTTCATTGGCTATTATCCACCGGACAGCTTGGAAAAATGAACAGCAGTCCACTTAAATAGCTTCATGACATTTAACTTTGATCGATTGCCGAGTAAATACATCTAACTATATTATATATTCTGCAGAGCTAGAGCATTGACAGCGCGTATAAAAGGTTGATCACGTTCCAAGTCCCTTCAGCTGAAATACTTGTGCTCTAAGCACTGGCCAAAATGTTATACACTGTAAAAAAAAAAAAAACACTAAAATTAGGAAAGTAAGAGGGCTACCGTTACAATCTTTCTAGCTGCTTGCTGCGCACCTTAAGCTGACGTGTTCTTCTTTCCCCCACATCTCTGTGTAAGGTCTAAGCTAGGCATAGCTTTTTATCAATGCGAAAATATTGCATAACGACAAACCGCAATAAAATTTGCTCAGGTACTGAAATTTTGATTTTATTTACCGATAGTAAGTGCACCAGAATTTTGTTGAGTGCGTTTTAACGTTCGTACCAATTGAGATCCCGTGTTGTAATTAATTGGCCCAACCTAATGCATTTTTATTACCCCGTCCCGAATTGCAATTCACTTTTTTTTTTCAGGTTTTCTCGCAGCTCTCTATGGAATACTGCATATAGTATTTTTTTTATAATCTTTAGTATTTTCCAGTGTAAGAAAATACACAATACTTTTCTTATGTGATTAAGGCACTAGCGCCAGGAAACTGTTGCCCGATGTCATCGTAGAGTGACGTCTGATCAACCTTGATGAGAGCCAGCAACTCGATGGCAGTCTGACGCGTGTCCTCGTTGGGCAGCTGGTGCTTCTCCAGCGATTCGAGCAGCACTTTTAGAGTCTGGCTGAGGTGTGGTTCCAGCACAGCTGGTTTCTGCTGATAGAGTTTGCGCAGAGCGGGAACCACTTGGATATAGGCATCGAAATTGTGGCTAAACGGAAGATTTTCGTACACTAAAGGCAGAACCTGTTCGGTGGACAGGGTTTCGCAGTTCATCATCATGCGCGCCAGAATTGCGGCAACCTGCTCCCGCTTCTCGTTGGCCAGTGGCGAGTTGGCATTCAGGGCATCGATAAACACCTGTGAGGTGGCCGTGATGATGGTCTCCATGTTCTCTTTGTCATGGGCGTGCGTGAGCATCCAGTTGATCAAGTTGATGGCAAACTGAATCACATGCGGCTTGTTGTCCATCATGCAGTCTACAACGCTATAGCAGAGCACGTCGTAGTACTGCTCGGCGATAACTCCAAGCGGCTCCATGCAGCGATAGACGAGCTTGTAGAGAAAGTACAGATGCGGCGTGATCTGGCCAGTGGGCTCGCACTGGCGCAGGCTCTTCAGAAAGCGATTGCTAATGCTATGAAAATGGCCAGCAAATTGGCGTCTACGCATCGACTGGCCAAAAACGGGCAGCATCTCGCCGGCGGCCTCCATTACTTGGATCTCGGAATGTAGGGCCTGGCTCCACTGTTGCAGTACGGACATTTTCGTGTCCTGGCCAATATCGAACTGACAGTTGAGCTTGCGGCGCAGGGTCTTGCGCACAATATTTATGATCATATCGGCAAATCCCTCACCTTCCAGAGCCTCGGACCCAAACAGTTTGAGGAATTGTGTTATGCAGTTCATGGCGGCAACAACATTGGCCGTCTCCTTGGCCGTTTCCACAAAGTCAACCAAATCAGGCATTAGTTCGTTCAACTGGCACTTGGCCTCGTTTCTGTCGCCCTTGCGGTACAGAAGAATGGCAAATTCCGTCAGCACCTCGAATGCAGCCCGTTTGCCCAGCTCGTTCTGCGAATCCGTGTACGAAGAGACACAGCGCGTCGCCTCCGATATATAGGGCATTACCGTGTCCGGCATGTTGATGGCCAATGTCTTGAGGCACAATAGTGCCTCATCGGGTGCAGCCGAAGTGCCTAAGCTGCCAATGCTGCTAGTGATGCTTCTTGTGTTGCCCTCTCCCGTCTGATCGCCGTGGCCGTCCCCAATGCTGTCTTCTTCGGCACAGACACTTGCATCTGCATCGGTCTCGGCATCGAATCCGTCTTCGTCCTTTTCGTCATCGCTGTCCTTGCCATCCTTAATTGCAGCCAGAACTCCAACTATAAGAAATGAAAAATTCACTCGAATCTGTTCCGGCACATAGTTGGACAGCATCGCGAGCATGTCGAACATGAAGACTTGTGTACTACTCATGTGCTCCATCATCTCCAAATAGCTGTCCATCAGCACCGGAGCATTCTCAGCGAATTTCTCAGAATCAACGTTGCTCAGCATATTGACTACCTGCAATAGGGTTTTCAACTTTTAGAGAGTGAACTAACCATATGAGCCTTCTGAGCCTTATTTGAGGCCATGAGAATCGCATAGAAAAGCGAAGTAAATGGGGAAAAAGGTTGGAAAGATGTAAATTCACAAAATCGCATTGAAGGCCGCTTGTTAACAAACTAACCTGTATAGCTTGAGTTCGTAGAAGCATCCGTTCCTCCGGAGGCTTCTCTCTAACCAGAGGCAGCGTAATGGCCAGCACCTCATCAAAGTGCGGCCTAAATAAATCTTTTGATATTTTGCCTAAAGAGGCGACGGCACTCAACGCCAGTTGGCGCAGCGAAATGGAATTGTTGTCCGGCTGCAAAGCACCCATTAGCCGCTTCATTAGTTCACCCAGATGTGGCTGCAATGCCTCCCGCCTAAGGCTCTCACAATAAATTTCCAGTGTGCAGAACATGCGTGTTTGTGACTCTGTCTCATGGTCGGCTATGCGCTGCTCTGGCGTCATCTGATCAAAGAATTCACAAAACAGGGGCAGCACTTTGGGCGCCATCACGGTAATCTCCGGCTGCAGATTCTCGGCCATAATGGATAGTGCGAAATGTGCTGACCTGCGTACCATTGGCTCCACATCACGAATGCCCGTCTCGACCGCCGAAATAAAGCTGCGTAATGGTGCATCGGCCAGTAGGTCTGTAAATCCCTTGGCCATCAGAGCTAGAAACAGCTGGGCGGCCACACGGTGCACCGCCGACTGCTGTTGCTCTAGTTGCGGCTGCATCAGGCGCAGGGCACGCAACGCAACGCGATTGGTGTCCGATTCGGCGGCAACAAGGATCACCGTTTGGGCGGCCTCGGATAGCGGCGATTGTGCCTCCTGTGTGTCGCCCAAGTACAGCTCCTCGCCATCCGCATCTAGAGCCGGCTTGATGGCCATAAGGCGATATAGGGTCATCAGCAGCTTGTCCATCATTTTCAGCCGGATGATGTGCCGCCGCTTGCTGCGCACGCAGTTCCTCAAGGCCATTATGGCCTGGACACGGATCTCATCACCCAGATTTGTGTCGCTCGCCAGCAGAAAGAGCTCATCGAGCACCAGCTTCAGTTGCGGCCACATCAGCTCCGGCAAGTGCTTGTTCAGCTTTGCAAGCACATCGAATCCTCGACAGCTGCGTTTCGGATTCGGCTGATATGCAAAGGCATGCGTCATCTGCATAATCAAAGGCAGTGTGGCGGCCAGTTCTTCTTGATCACAGGGACGCCTGCTGAAAAGCGGTATGGCCATGTGCCAGCCAGACAGTAAATGTTCCGTTGCCGGTGTGGCCAATTCGCCCTGCTCCTTGGCCAGTTCCAGAGTACGCACGAATATGTTCTTGGCACGCACCAAATATTTCTCGAACATATCCGGCGATGTTTTCACGAGCAACTTAAAGCAAATAGCGCCCAGCAGCTGGCTAAGTTTATCACTGGATACGCACAGCTCCTCCACATGATCTATGATGAGATCGTTCCAGGCCGCAGCCTCAGCATTCCCAGCATCCAGCAGCAGGCCCATCACAAGTCCAACATTACGCACTACGGTCAGCTGCAGGTTTTCATCATCGTTCATGGTCAAACTCTTAAATGCGCCGAGTAGCGCATCCTGGGCCTCCTTCTGCTGGTTGGGCAGCAGGTTCTTCCAGACGTCCGGCTGGCCCAGCCGATTCTTGAGTATATGTCCGGCACATTTGCGCATCGCCGGCAGCTTGCCAACATTGCCGAGCACCATGCACACCTGAACCGTGCTGTCTGGATCTGTGTAGAGGCTAGTTAACTCCTCGGTGGATTGCCGCACCACGTCCGAGTGGGCGTTCATCATGTCGCCCAATAGGCGTACCACTTGCGTGCGATTCTCCTCATCCGCCATATTGATTGGCTCTAGTGAACACTTCGAACCAGCAACTTCTCTTACGCGACTAATTAATCTCGTTAACCAAACTCAAATGTCAATGAAAGAAGAGTTTAAAAACTCGTATGTACGCCAGTTGCAACTGCTTGAGGCACTTATCAAACTCAGATATCCAAAACATATATATATATATATATATATATATGTATGTATATATAATGTATAAATATATGTATAAAAATGTATAAGAATAATCACTATGGTTTTCCAAAAGTTCAACTTTTATTTTTGGAAAAAGTAAAAAAATATATATATAAATTTCTAAGCACGTTGCTTGTTAGAGCTAAAATCGAACTGAACTGAGAAATTAAACAAAACTGCGTACGTGCACGAAAAGTGTGTCTGCTCGACGACTTCTATGATTGCTTCAAAATGTTGTGCGCTTACGAAACTAAGTAGGAAAATACTTAACATCATTTCCCGGCTCAACGCTTTTTCCAGGCCGTTTCACCTTGAGCCGTCATTTGTATTCACCCAAGTGGATTTGCCGCAGTCAGTGGATGACGTTTCGAACAACATTTTATTTATTTATTTTTTATAAATATTTGACAGTTGCCCGTGCACTCTGTATAATATATATAATTTATAATATAATTTCGAAACATGACGAATGAAACTTGAACTTTCCCCCGTTCAAATTTGCATTTGCATTTTTCACCCAAAAGCGTGGAAATACGCATTGTTACAAATCTTTGAAAGAGTAGAATTTTCCTAACTTTCTAAAAAGTTGATGCGATAGATTGGGCATCCAAGGCGACAGTCAGTCAATCAATCGTTGGGAATAGCTTTCTATATATTCCCTCTTCGATTGATCTGATTTTGTAAGATTTTTATTTTTGTATTCTACAGCTGCAACTTAATAAATGTGTTCAACCATAACTAAAACAATATACTTATTT